AGTCACTATTATTATTTTTATATAATTCTTAATTAATTACTATAATTAATTAATATTCTACCTATTCATATAAGAATGATAATAATACATAGAGATATATTATTGGTCAAATAACTTGAGTTTTGTAATTCATTTATTACTCAAATGACTTGAGTTTTGTAATTAATTCATCATTCAAATAACTTGAGTTTTGTAATTCATATATCATAGCTGATCAGAAATAATTTAGACTAACTGAAAATGATATAATTATGTCATTTTCAATATATTATTTAATAACTTTACTAAGATAAATAATATGTATTATATAATTATTAGAAAGAAAGAGAAAGAGTTTCAAAAATATTAGCTTTTACATGATTAAAAATGACTAGCTAATTAAATCTCATCTAGAAAAAAGAGAAAGAAAAGTTATTTCTATAATAACTTGATATTATATAATATATATCACTTTTCTAATATTACTTTAGCTATAATACTAATATTATTTTTATTATATGCTTAATATTAAGTTTATTAGCATTCTTGTGCTGATTTTACTATAATTATTATATTAATTTAGCTATAATATATATATTAATTATACTAGAATTATTAAATTAATTTTATTATAAATATTATACTTGTTCTACTATAATTAAATTTCTCTATAATTATATTTATTTATAGTTATACTATTTTGCTTTCCTATTTATATATAAATATAGTAAAAAGATCTTTTTATAGTTACATCTTCTTTATAGTTATCAAATTTTGCTTTTTCAAGAATGATAATTTTAAAGAAATTTAACTATATTTAATATTAACAAATTATATTATTTATAACTAGTATCCAATAAAATATAAGTAATAATAATAATTATCTAATAATATTATAATATAAAATAAAATATAAAATATTTGATATAATAAAAGTTTATATTATAATAATATTCTTTAATTATATTATATAAATTTAAATAAAATAGAAACTTAATATTTATTAACAAAATAAAAGAAAATACTTTTAAATGAAAAATAAATTATTAACTAAAATTTAAGAAAATTCTTTTGTTTTTTTTATATTAAATAAATTATAAATATTAAACTATTAATAGAATCAATAAATAAAATATTGATTGATTAAAGTATTAGTTAAAATATTAATTAAAATACTAATTTAAATATTATTTGAAATACTAGTACAAGTACTATTTAAAATATTAATACAAGTATTATTACAAATATTAATATACTATGCTAATTCTAAAAATAATTATTTGATAAAATATAAAAATATAATTGTTTAATAAAAATATATAAATTTGAAATAATAAAATAATAATTTATAACAATATCCAGCAAACAAAACAATATTAATAACAAAAATATCTTGTTTTATTATTAAAAAAGTTAATTTATAAAAAAATCATGAATTCCTTATTATTAAATTTGAGAATATATTTGATAAAATCATATGCAAACTGATATAATTTATTTTTATAAATAATTACAACTTTTATAATCATTTTATAACTTGACTATTCTAATATAATATACAAGTTAAATCTTTTAAAGTTAATGTTATTTTCAATTTTAAAATAAGCTTGTATTTGAAACATTTTGTAAGAAAAAGTTGTTATTCTTTGAGATCTGCTTTCTATTTTATATTTAAGATTTATATGTAAATATAACTTTTTGATTTTATTAATAACTTGAAAATATAATGATAATGATGAAAAAAATGATAATAATGATCTTTTACAATGTTGAAAACATCATAAAGACATATGCTATCTGAAAATAGAAGTCTATAATAAGAAATATTTGAAATAAGAAAAACTTGTATTTTGTTAATTAAAAATTGATCGTCATGGTCAGAGAATTTACTAGTTATAATGATTATCATTATATGCAAAAACCAACTTTGAATATAAATATAAAAACTTTGTGCGCTTTGTAATATTCTTAACGAATTTGACCAATTCATGTTTGATATTCTTATTGGCTTCGTTGTTTAAAACTGCAATCAGTGATTTCAAAATGTTCTAATACCACAAGATTTTTATAATGTTTATAGGTGAAACAGATTTGCCTTAATACAACTGTACTCTTAATTATTAAATCTATTGAACATCACCAACACAACAGTCAAAAACACCATAAAAGAACCGTTAATGATGGCCATTGGGATATTAGTAATAGCAGCCGAATTTAAGATACTACCACCAGATGGACTTGAAGTGGGAGTTGAAGATGATCCGAAAGTAGACGTAGGCGCGGTAGCAGTGTACTTCTTCGGATCGGTAGCTGAACAATTTCTTGTACAACCATCTGTACAATCTTTATTTCCGGGCGGACAATTTTCTTTACAAGCCTGCTCTTGTCCGCTACATATGAAGAAGGGAATGGTTTGGGTATATTCTATTTATTATTTCGGAAACAAATTAGAAATAATCCATGTTAATCGATAAAAGTAGATAAAGATAAACACGGCCATAATAAATAAATAATAAATTACCGGTCGAATTTGGAGAGTATCCGTTCATACAGAAGCATTGATAGTCCAGGGTATCTGCATCACATGTATTTCTTTCAACATCCACGTTATTACCAGAATCGTTACAAAGATTTACGCATGATGATGTTTGAGAAACACACCAAATATTTTTCTGCTCTATGGGAATATTCGAAACTATAATAATAATAGTAATGATTAATTAATCATTCTTATAGAAACCTCAAAGATAAATGTTTCAAAATGAAAAAAAAATACCTACTGTTAAACTCGCCCGCGTTACTTGCAACAATAAACGTAGTTGCAACCAAAGTTACAACTGCAAAGATAAAGTATGATTTGACCATTTTTAGTATTACTATTAGTGTTATTATTAAGTTATTATTTATTATTAATCTATTATTCAGTAAAGAGACGGAGTAAGAAAAAAGAGGAAATGAGTTCTATTTATATTGTGCAGAAAGGATATTATATTAATATAGGCGAAAGATATATTATTTATATTTTCTGTTTATCACTATTTAAAATATAATAATAAACGGTTGGTATGTGAGAGTCGGGTCGTCTGGACTATTTATTCTTTTTCGGCTGGGTCATATGTTCAAGAAAAAACAGATGGAGTTGACTGTAGGAACTTCCCCAGATATAAATGTCTATCTATATATGGGTTCTCTAAAGCTTATATAGAGAGTAAAAAAGATAATAGTCCCCCAAATACTTGCGAGTAAAATAATCTTTTGAGAGAGAAGAGGGAATAGATAAAAGGTCAAAATGTTGACTAATTCTGCAAGTAGAGAATAATATAGCGAGTGCGTATTGGGAGCACAGCATTAAATCTTTTAACTATTTTTGATTACATAGCGCAAGATGTTGAAACTTTTATAGAAGACTGCATCTGTGTATTATGCACTTAAAAAAGTAGAATGAGAGTATTAATTAAGACCAAAATAAATATTATTTTTGGTTTGAGCTTTATATAGAATAATGATGGCTGTGTGTCACTGTGCCTTTACCATTACCATAATTATTAATTGTATTAACTATTAGCGATAACTTTTTGTTCAACAATAATTATGGAGAAAAACCAAGGCTACAAGAATATAGAGAGCTTTTTAAATAATTTTTTTAAAAAATTTTCTCTGTATTCTTGTATCGTTTTTCTTTCTTATTATAACTACTCGATTTAGAGACTATCCGATCTAAACGATCACTAATTAATCCCTTTCCATAAAAATCAGACTCAATCTAACGAATCTCTTGGAATTAGAAATGCAGACATTACTTGGAATAGTGACATTTTTCGATACAGTCAAAGTTTGGTTATACGCTATAACGATATCTTTTATAACGATAATATGTAACCATGTTAACTAACGATAATCGTGTCCCGATTTATCCCAAATCAACAAGTAAATTATTCACGAACCAAATTTCAAATTGCCTAATTTGGGTTTTACCCCTGATATAAGCCACAAGCCACAATTTAATATTGCACCTTTCCTAATTTAGAAAATGATGCAGCACAAACAAAAACGGAAATGATTATTAGAAAAACTAATTAGTACATATAAGATTGGTAACAAAAGAAAAAAAGATTAATAACAAAAAAAAAGTTGAGAGCACAATTACATAATGAAAAAAAGAAGTTGAAAACCAATCTCCTTTTTATTTTTATATATGCATTGAATTAATTCATGTTTTGATTAAAACTAATTCTTGATAATTATATCAGATATATAGTTAAATCTTTTTATAATTATCATCTTTGAAAAAGCAAAATTTGGTGAATATAGAGAAAATGTGACTATAGAGAGATTTTTTTGCTATATTTATATGTAAATGAAAAAGCAAAATAGGATAACTATAGAGGTATATAACTATAAATAGACATAATTATAGAGAGATTATTAATTAACAAGTTTAATCCAATTTTTTTTTAATAAAATAGAAAAATTTAGCTTTATATCTACATGTGAATTATAAGTGTCTCTCTTTAATTGAATTAGAAATTTTGAATTTTGTTAATGACATTATTTATTATATAAGAAAAAATTCTATATTATAATCAAATTTCTCTATAGTTATACTTGTTTATAGTCACATTTCTCTATAATTATCCTATTTTGCTTTTCCATTTACATATAAATATAGTAAAAAAATTATTTTATAGTTATATTCTTTTTATAGTTATCAAAGTTTGCTTTCTTAAGAATAATGATTATAAAGGAATTTGACTATACTTTCTAAGTTCAAGTAATGCAAGATAATATAATTAGAGTGCTCTTAATTCTAAGTAAGTATTTTCACAATAACTATTAGAAAAAATTAAAACTATGAATATCTAGTTATTGGAGAATCATAAGTAATCAAAGATAAGTGAATTTTAAAATAATCATAATTATTTAATATAATTTTTATTTTTATTTATCTCTTTCTTTATAGATTAATAATTTTTTATTATTCCATATATTTGGATGAAAAATTATTGAGATCTATCCTGTAAAAATAAATTTAAAATATTTTAATATTACTTTTTTATTATTCTAAACAAAAATTTTATTTCAAATATCTCATATCTTATTAAAAAAAATACAAAGATATCCAGTTCACAAAATCACTATTGAAACAGTATTACAATCTGAAATTATTTTTAATTTCTTAATTTTAGTTATATGAGAAAATATAAATTGTAGAGATTACAGAAATTGCAGAAATAACAGAGTTATTTAACTTATTTGAAATATTTAATATATTATATTTATCTTATATATATAATATATTTTATATTATAATAACTTAATTATAAAATATTTTATATAAAT